TGGACTGGATTAGATTTAGCTGGATTTTCTTTGTGAGTTTTATATATTTTTTGTGCTTGTGCTCAAACTTAAGAAGCAGATTAAGCATAATTTGGAACTTTCACTGTTCAATTTATTAATTGCAACTCTGGGGAGAAACAAACACAAAGGCCAAGTTTTAATTTGTTAACTCCAGCGGCCTTTTTTCTGCCTTGCACTGCAATTACTCACAAAAGGAGGGGACGCAATTTTGTGAAGACAAACAATATGAATGAATGTGGGGAGACGTCAAGTGAGTGTATTAATTAGATTTTTAATTTGTGTGTTGTGTATTTCTTTCAAGACATTTTAAAGGTTTACCGTGTCTCTCTCGCTCACTTTTATGAACCGAAATTGCTACATTTGAAGTTTGGAGTGTCTTGCTGTGTTCTCTCCTCTAAATAATGTTATTAGGAATTAATAATGCTGTTCACTTTTACTTTTTTATTCGTAGCTGAACAATAATCTGTGGCTTGGCAGATAAAGAGACTGGAAATGGACGGTTAAATGGATTGTGGCAATATTTGATATTGTTGTTGGATTTCCGTGAGCGAAATTGGCCCTTTTATGATTCACAGTTTTTGTCAGTGGGTTTAGAGTTGAGAAGAGAGAGAGAGAAAAAATCTTAAATAACAGCTTAATTAGGAATTTAATTGAAGTAAAAGAAGGCGCGATAATCCATTTGATGGATCGTGTCAATGATGACGAGGATTTTTCCCTGCAGACAAAATGTTGTTATGTAAGACATTTTGGCTTGTTGCAATGCACTTTGTGTTGGGAAAGTTTAGATCTATACCATTAATATTCTCCTCTGTCTGCACAAATCAATGATGAATATTTGATCTCGTCCAATCATGCTTCACTTAAGCCAGTACAGTTCGTCCTGCGATAACTTCCTCAGATACACTCACGTAACAATTACACACATTCTTCAATGCACCTCATAACTGTATCATGGATGATGGGGGTTCCCTAATTTGGCACAATTTAAATTGTGTAACGATTTATGTAAATTTTCGCCGATGAGAGGCGATCTCTTCCAATTTACCGGCTATTATGGGTGTTTTTTTTCCTTGCTCTCTTCAGTGGATATATGAGAAATGAAAGTGAAATTCATGATCTAATTCTTTGATGTTGATATCGTGGAATACAATCACTTGGGAAGAGAACGTGTCGGCCCGTGTGTGTGAAGTGAGGAATGCTAATTTTATCTGTCGCATCTTTCCTCCAGTACACATTAATTTGATTACACCAATAATTTTCAATAGTTTACAGTCTAGAGAAGAGACTTTCCACCGCGACGACCACAGACGCTGAAATGAGAGTGAGAGGTTTTGTGTGTTCACTGTTGAGATTAATTGGTAACCGTGAGGATGATCTCGTGAGTTTTGGTCGGTATGTGTTGTGTGGTGAAATTTGGGTCTCGGGAAAGTGTCTCGCTTGGTGGAAATTTATGATATGACAAAATTATGTCTACTTTGCTATTTTTCCCGCAACAAAATGGCAGTGAGAGTGATTTTACTGTCAAAGCCTGCAGATGCAATCTGTGACCATCATTATAATGCCTCTCCAATTGTTCTCTAACCATAAATAATCCGCCAGGCGCGCGATGGTAAAAGATCACCCAACGCCGGGTGAATGGTTAATTGTCACCCAGAAGTGGGCTTTCTTTGTCAGTTTGCAATTGAATGGTTTGGGCAGATCGAGAAATCCTCACGGGCTCTGATATCTCTGTCGCAGGCGCGGTGTATTTTGTATGGGAAATTTACCCGTGATCACTGTCCATGTATGGCATTGTGGCTTCATCATTGTGAATTCTTTCATGTTCTTGTTGCTCTTTTCCTTCTCTCCATTTCACTGCCATTTATTGTTATTATTATTGGATGGTATTTGGCTGCTGAATGAAAAGAGTCTCTCACTTACCACACTTTCTCTATGCAACACGTGAAACATGGAAACATTTTTCCAATGATATTTCATACCGCTAAGCATGTATATATCATGGCTTCTTGGCTGGGATCCCAACGAAATTGCACATTTGTTTCTTCTGCCATTGTGTTACAATTTTCATTGGGCTTTTACCTATGAGTCTCTCAAGGGAGATTTATTGGATGCAATTGATTTTCCGTGTGCGAATGGCTTTTATGGTAATATGTCCAAAAGGTTTTACTTTGTATCGCACAGCACAGGCTGTGAATGCTAGACAGATAGAGAGAGAGATAAATACATATACTTACATTATTTTACAACCCAAGAGAAGTGGAAAAAAGTCAACATTTTGTTAACCTGTCTCACTTGACTTTTGCTATTTGCCTGTGAATTCAATGGGCGCGCGAGGGGAAGTGCATTGAATAATGGAACAAATTTATTTGGAATCATTTGCTCGCTGTTGTACAACTTCTCTCTAATATGTGTGGCCTTCTTGGCTGGGTGGAATGAATGCGCGGGGAAGTCCACCGAAATATTATGCACCGCAACCATTTTGCTTCTCCTTGCAAATACACAATTGCCTTCTTCGACGAATACGCGATCAAATGGGGATTTATTATCCATTGAGTTCTCTCTTCAAATGGTTGGGGACTTGGTAAATTGTTCACCAATGCACTTTGCATTGCACCTTTTTGCCCGCCCGCCCCCCTCCCCTTCATTGCTGGCACAAGCTTAACAACTATTATTATTCTATGCGCTTTTGCAGCGCTTTGACGAAAAAAAGATCACTCTCTTGTGGTTCTCCTCCCTCTTGTCGCGCTTTGCAATTGTGGGCTTTTCAATGCATTGGGGAGAAAAAGTGGAGCCTTCATGATAAATTACGCGGCATTCTGGGGAAATCGCACTACTGTAATTTAATGTATTTTGTCTATTGCTTCTCAGCCACACGGCCAATTGTTTGGTAAAACTTTCGAGAATTTATTACACCACTTGAAAATAGCCCAAAGGAAAGTTCTGTGCAGCTCTTTCGATATAGATTGTGTACAATTAAGCAACTGCACTGTTGTGTTAAGTTGCAATGCAAGGAAAGCAGTGAGATTGATACAGAAATACTCTGTTTTCGTGTGCTTCTGGAATGGGAGAAGTTCAAGTCAAATTCCAGATTTTACGCTGGTGCCTTTGTACAAGCTATGTGGTGGGTTTAAAATAGAATTTCTTTTGAATTATGAGGTCCATATTTTCCGGTTCTTACATGCATTCGCATGTGAGCTCGAAAGAGTTCATTTTCCCGCCCATTTCTCTCTTCCTTGTGCATTTAGCTTTTACTTTGTGGACACGATGTGTGTCTGGAGGGGAATTCACTCGTCACAGAGGCGCAAAATGGCCTATAAATTCTCATTAATCAGCATAATTTCTGCCATGGAATTTATTTGACGAAAAAGACCAGTTGACAACACCCGTGATTTTGTTCTTAATTAAATTTTTATTGCTAATTGCTGGACGCTGGCGCGGATGAGAAGGCGGGAGGAGTTTAACAAATTGTATGCCTTATTTATGATCTGTTGTCTGACGATGGAATTTTCTCGCTCCCACGCTAACGAAGAAAGTCTATTTAAGAGTGAAAATCATGTGACATTTTTCGTGTGTCTTCTGAGTGACGACCCACCCAAATATGACAGTTTGATAGTGAATCCAAGAGACTACCCACGTGAAGGCTCCATTCTCGGGGCGATTAGTGGTTGTCGGCGGGCGAGAAAGTATCGCCGGATAAACTTCTCTACCTTGACTCGGATTTTTTCGGATCACTTTTTACATCACCATATTAATTAGCAAGTCAGATTTGGGAGCTAATTACCTGTGAGTGATGCTGAAGAACTCCGGCCACTTTTGATTACACACGCTGTGTCGCCGAAGACAAGCCTTTCACCGCCACTTTGAAGGTGTGTTTCAGAATGGCACCGTCGCGAGAAGAGAATAGAGAGGATCATTAGATGAGGCTGTTGTCTCAGAGAGTTGATTACAAATGTTGCATTTGCCTCCGGCGTGTGCAAGTTTGTCTTTTGGGTGGGTGGGCAATAGAGTCAAAATCCCATTTAGTGTGTTGCGTGCATCGCAATGATTAACGGACTCCACTTAATAGTATTTATGTTCTTTTCTCCCAATGTCAGAGGGAGTTGATAAAGTGTGGTAGCTTCTAAGAACAGCACAAATCCAATAAACTATCATCCCACTTATAATGGAAATTATTTTATTTTTTGTGTTCACCTCAAAGAACTTACAATTGCAACCAAGCCTCTTCGTCTTAGCCATAAATTGCCTGCGAGGCAGAGTAAGAGGAATATTCCTGGAGAGGAGGAAACACACGCCAAAATGACTCCTTTGTCTCTCGTTTTTGTTCCTTTGAGGTGTGTCTTTCTCTCTGTGGCATTTCGCACGTGAAAAAGTGAGTGGTTGAAAATTCTATTAACTTCATCTTCAAGTCGATGGGGAAAAAATCCCGACTGAAGTGTGATGGGTCTATCCCTTGGAGCGACAATGTCTAGTTTATGACTTTTATTGATTGCTCAGTCGGAGTTCACGCCTTGCCAAATGTGAAATCTCTTGTCAGAATCTCGCGAAAATGGTATTCACACACCATTTCCACTGTCAGTGCAAATTACACACATGTTGCTTTCGAAACTGATGGCCGAGTGTGAAAGACGATAGGGAGATCATTGATTTTTTTTCCTGCACTTGTTTTTGATTGAATCTCTTGTTCGAATATGAGATCACTCACCACTCACAATTGTCTTCCAATGGACGATTGCGTGTGTGTTGTGAGTGCCTTCAAGTGGAATTAGGAGGAGTAGAAGTTAAAAGTTTCGACCTTCGGGGAGTCCAAAAATAAATGCCTTCCTATTGCCTCTGTGGACACATAATTCACGTTGAGGAGATTAAAAATGAAATAGACGTTTTGTAATTGTGATAGTAAAACGGAAATATTCGGAGAATGATGTCTCGAGATGTTGTAAATCCACAACTTATGGTTTCTCTCTCTCCTTGGCTCTTTGCAGGATTTGTACCGTGAGATTGTGTCTCAGGCTCGTGTTGTTGGTGCCTGCATCAGAACAGCTGAGAAGGAGGCGTCCGAGGAGGCAGTCACCACTGACAAGTCCACATCTCCCGCCTCGTCATCCAGTCGCCGTGGAGATGGGAATCTGAAAGGATTGGAGAGGCGCTATCACTTGCTCTATCTCAAGGCGTTTGAGGTTCAGTGCATGCTCGAGAGTTTACTGGGCCGGAGAGGATCACCGGTGAGTGTCTGAAAGTTATTTCTGTCGATGCGCTGATGTGATTATTGACTGGCTATTGGGTGGGATTCATTGATTTGTCTCAGAGGCCTTGTAGTGCAGGAAGAAAAAAGAAAAGACACGCAGACACTCTGACGATTTCCTCGATCATAATTTTTCGAGCCACTTAATGCTCACTATAAATAGAGACATGTATACATTGCTGTTCTTCTTCATCTGAACAGCGAGAGAAAGACAGAGATGATACAAGAGAAAATTGCGATAGTTTCGCTTCTGCGCTCGCGTGACGAGACATTCAACTCACAGAGGCTTGGTATGAGTCGCCTAAACTATTTCTCATTGGAATAATTAAGTTCATCTCACACTAAATGGGTCATAGAACTTTGGTTATGCGTCGCGTTCAATCTTGAGATGAGTTATGATTTAGCAGAAGAAGCCTTGTCAATATCATTTGATCGTATCAGTTGATTTTTCCTAGAAGTCTAACCAGATTCCTGTCTGGTGGTTTATAATTGAAACGCTTCTGATGGTTGGCATGGAGAAAATTATCACGTAAATTCAATTTGTTCGAAGAAATGGGGGGTTCTCAGGCATTTCTCTCCCCATACAATCTCGTGCCCTCCTGCTTTACGGTATACCACACGTCATTTTACCTGTTTCTCCGGTTCGCGATCACACGATTGTGATTGTGGAGAGTTGTGGCGAGGTAGGGAAGACAGCATAGCCACTAAGAATTGACACGAAATATCGACAAGAATCGCGATAAGAGAAAATTGTTCAGGTGAATTGAAGAAATGCTGCCTTGCAAGCGAAATTGTCTCGAATTTAGACTTGAAATTTAATTACCTTGCAATTGTTTGTTGCGTGTGTCTTGAGATTAATCAATGGTTCAAGACTAGTGGCTCGAATGGCATGAGAGAGGAAAGGTTTCTTTTTTTGTGTGAAATTTAATGGGTGGCTTTTTCTATGGAATTAGGGTCACAGAGCAGCAATTCCCTCTTCCTTTGCCAATCCGCGAGCACGCGGTGATTCTCGATGCTTCGCGACATTCACTCTTCTATGTGGCTATTTGCACTATATATTTCCAAGAATGCGAAAGAGGACGTAATGTCGATGTGTTGAGAGAAAGAGAGAAATGGTGTTAATAGATTACACACTGTTTCTTTACACAATCAATGCGTAATTAATTACCCTATTCGCGATAATTGAGTTTGCATTTATTATATGATAAAACACTTGTATAGTTTTGCCGACTAATTTATGTGTCTCACAGAAAAGAGGAAATATAAAAAAGGGAACAAAGTGTGGTTGTGAATTGTAAGGAAGACAGAAAAAAAGCGCCGTTTCATTTTTAACAAGCATATACAAGAAGCTATTAAAAATCGTCTGAATTACTAATTTTTCCACAATAAAAACATTCATTTGAGATAATGAGTGATATTTTCGAATGCTTCTTATGTAACATTTACAGCTCTGGCAAATATATAACATTGTCTTCCTACCCATAAACAGTTTATTCGCGAATTTTTCTCAAATGCCTTTTCCATGTTCGACCGCTTTGTTTTGTAATACGATTGGCGAGAGCAGCAGCGGTGATATTAATTAGGCAAATTGGTAATTTTCACTGGAAAATTGATTGATTTGTCGGCTACTGGGCGAGGCTGTAAAATTTGTAATAAATAATTCATGTAAGAGGTTTTTCTTATCTAATTTTAATGAGAGAAATATATTTAAAATACAAGCTTCACTCCCACGGGTATCAAAGAGAGTCAAGCATGAGAGAGGCGAGCCGTAAAAGAGTCGCCCAATGAGTTAAAGAGTGAATTTATCGTAAATTTCTGTATAACGTAATAAATTGCCATGGAGTCTCTCTTCTCCATTGCAATTGAATATGTATCTGGCTGTGCTCAATGGGAAATAAAAGCTCTTTTCCTTCCGTCTGGAAGGTGGCTATTCGAAGAATTGGAATTCAATTTTAATAGTGAAACTTTAATGTCTCTCAATTGTGAGGCGCGAGAGACTTTGATTGAATTCTCACATCACACCACAAGTTTCTCGACCTTTTTCCTCTTCTTCCTCTTTCTCTACACATATCTCTGGCTGAATTCATGTCTATTGGATTGAAATTGGAATTTTTTTCACTCATGGCACAAACCATTGAGGGTCTCACTCAATATGTGGCTTTTTGTGCCGTCCTTTCTGCACTGATAACTCCCCATTTATACATGATTGCGGTGCTAAATGGCAAGGGCACGCAATAATGCTAAAATCGAGTGGCTCAAATTGTATGTCTGGGTGTATTAATCGCGTATTTGTTCTCGCTGCTTTTGCCATGAATCAACATTTGTGCTGCCGACTGATAAATGGCATGAGAATTTTCGTGAATTCATGTTTTTGGTGTTTTTGACAGAGTCCGGACGTCTCGAGATCGCAGTCAGACACTGATGAGGAGCCCGTGGCCAAGCAGGCGAGATTGAGCAGCTTATCTTCAATCTGCGGATTCAACTCCAGGCGCTGTCTTTACCAAGATAACGATGAGAATCGCTCTGATGTGAGTATATGCTTAGCATTTCTTGGATATGGTGTTCAGTTGATAACTTGAGCTCTTGCAGGATGAGTGGGGAAATCCTCTAGCTCAGGCGGCCGGATTCGAGGCTGACTCTGAGGGGAGTGATTGTGAGGTGACGCAGAAGCCCACAATTAGTTCCCTGAGTTCCAACAGCAACTCAGGAACGCCCTTTTCCTCGCTCACACTGCCGGACATTCAGCTGCAGCAGCCGACAGCTCCAGCGAGTGACGCGAAAGTTGATCAGGCTGTGGGAACAATGGACACAGTGGATACCGTGGATGCTGGAGAGATGACAACGACGCTCGTCACGCAGGTGATGGTGGCCGAGGAGAGCCCCAAGGCGAAGACGCCACAGAAGAGATCACGCAAGGTGGACATCTCGAAGTTCAACAGATCCAATCGCAAGTCGAAGAATTGTGCCATTTTCTACTTTCGCCACCTGGACACGGATGGCGAGCAGAAGGGATTCTCGGGCAGTGAAGCGTTCAAATCCAGTGAACCGTCTACGGATGAAGAGTGGTATTACACAAATAATGGTGCTGCCGAGGAGAATAATGAGACGCAGAATGGGAATCATCATCATGACGATGAGGAGCCAAATCACACACTTGTTAGCTCGCCAGTGATTCCCAGTGCAGCTGACACAATCGAAGCCAAACAAGATTGTGTGACGCCAGTCGTGGAATCGACCACGAAGCGAGCAATCAAGGTGAGAGTCGCGCGCACTTGCGAGATTGAGTAAGATGGACATGATTTTTGCAAAACTCACACACTCACACACACAGTCTGCCTTATCTTATCGCAATGCTTGTGTTTCTCTATTTTCGTCCCACGATAAGAGCACATAGAAAACTTTTTTTTCTCTCTCTTTTTCCGCCCGGCAGTGCTCCAAGGAATCGATCCATCAACTCGTGCTGGATGCTGAGAATCTCATTCGCGAGGAGACCACGAAGAAATCGTGCAGCGCTCTGGCCGAGGTGATGCTGATGTCATCAAGTTCTTCGTCACGTCGCAAGTGTGAGAAGAAAATGATGCACAATCCGAAAATAAAGCGTGTTCAGGTGAGTGGAATCGAGTCAATTGTGGTATGTCAAGTTCACAAAACTCTTGCCTAAGTACATCCGGATCACACGATGCAAATTTTATTCTTCTCACGCTGAAGCTTTTTGACTTGTGTGCAATGTTAATTCTTTAGCATTTATGCCCTGTTCTGTCTTCTCCTCTAGGAGTGGCTCGAACACCAGCCAACTGACGTGATGGCCAATCCACCCTCTGTGCCGACAACAGACTGCGAGGCTTCCGGCGAGTACACGGAGAGCGACCGTGAGATCACGGCCCGTGACTCGGACACATCCGAGGGTTTGGCAGACTCTGTGGCCACTTGCCTGCAGGGCGGCGAGGCGAACAGCAACTCTCAGGCCACATCGACGGAAGTGATTGGAGGCTCGGCCGAACCCTTGCCGACGGGACAGCTTGAGATTGTGACACCGGGCAGTGTATCAGTGTCGGGACGAGTTGTGATGCGAGGAAAGCGTCGGAACTCAGACCGACCCTGGTCAGTGTCGAGTCTCTCCCAGTTGACCCAGACGATGGGCAAGAGAACGGTGGTGATCAACAATCAGCTGGCCACGTTCTCAATCAGTGAGTCGGCGCTTCACACTCTTTCGGCACCCTTGACGCCAGGTGGTCCGGCAACCGGTTCCATTGGCAATTCCGACAGCAAGAGCTCACTGAAGAAACACCGGCGACTCCGCATGAAGAAGCGATCCATTGTGAGTATCCCGTTTTGTGCACGGCGTGTAAGTGTAAAGTGGATTAATAATGTGTGTGCACTTTGCAGGGTCGGAAGAGTGACTCGGGGTCAGATGGAGCACCTGTGAAGTCTCTGGTGAAGTCCGAATCATTTTCCGGGCAGTCCAACTTTGTGCAGGAGCAACTTTCTCTCTTGACCATCTCGCGGAGGGTGAGACAGACAAAGTCCACGAGTTCGGAGATGGAGAGCGAGGAGGATGGATTGGCGAAGCCAACCTTCCGCCTTGGCTCTGTGACGAATGTCTTCCCTAGCACAGCGTTGGCGCCCAATCTGGGCTCTCTGGCTGCTCTTGCCAACTACAATGGTGCTTGCATAGACGTGCTGAAGACGCACGTGTCGGAGGATCTGAGCTCAGAACAGGCGTGGGATAATTACCAGGAAAAGTACAACTCGGAGAACTACTCTGAGGGACTGGATTCGGACGCCGCCAGGCGTTTGCTGGAGTTCGGCGATGATTACAGGAACTTTCTGGACTCTCAGTCAGATTGTTGCTCGTCTTCACTGTCGGCAGCGAACAATCTGGACTCCTTGTCACCACCGCGGTACAGAAAGCAGCTCTTCAGTTCACCGGATTGCAAATCGCCGGCTGTGCTGGAGACAAATGCACACGCCAGTGAAAGTAATGCGATCCGGAGACGTCGTGCGCTTGAGTATGCTGAGTACGAGCGCAGGAGGAGACGCTACTCTGATGGTATTTGACGATTTGTTTGCGGATTCCCCGGGAATTTTCACTAAAACTGTGCCTTTTGTTGTGGTGCTCTTTGCAGATCGGAGAAAGTCTTTTGAGTCGTCACACTCCTCGTCGAGGCTGTCGCCGAAGAATGGCAAGAGTGGATCTCTGGGCGGCTCCACGGATGCTGTAATGCGCCGGAAGCAGTCGGAGAGCGATAGTTCGGCGAAGAGGCGCAGCGGAGGACGGCTGAGCGGGTCCTTCCGCCCACTGTCGTCCACGTCGGAGTCTTCGAGTGGCGGCAGTGACTCAGAGGCCGAGGTGGAGATGCGCAATCTGCTGTCTCAGAGCCGCCAGCGCTTGGAGCACACGGAAGCCCTCCGCGTGCGGCGCCACCTGCTGCGTCCGGAAGACTATGTAAGAATGCATTGCTATCGATTGAGTAGGAGGGCTTCCAGGTGGACCCAGTTAGTGTGTAGATATCGCAGAGGGAGGGAATCGCAGCTGATCTCGTGGGAGAGTGAGGTGGTCGCATGGGACGATGGTAGATCTTTCTTTCTCGGGTACCTTATTCTCCTCCTTGTCCTCACGCTCTACATTAGATTGCATCTCTTGTGTTTCTGGTGACTAAAACCCCCGCCACTCCCGAGTGCTTTCCGTGTGTGAACCTCTGAGGAAAGTCTCGCGGAGTTGCAATTTGTTTTCTCAAGTATTATTAACTATATTGTAAAAGGAAGACAGAGAGACAGAGAAATTCCACTTATAACCGAAGGGATTCCAATGAGATTATTTCTTTATAATAACCTGTGATGGAGACTTTTTGTTTTGTACAATTAAATACACAGCATTTTATCAATTGGTTTTTTTTTGTATTTCTTTTGCTTCTCGCGCGCAATTTGTATCACTTTTGCAGAACAAAGTGTTTATCTTTGCCCATTGTTTGAAGAGTGATGAGAATTTTCAAGCATTGCATGTACGTACAATCTTGTTTCTCTCTATTTGCACATCACTTTCGCTCTTCTCTATCAAAAGCCAGCAAATTAATAATTTATTGCACATAATAAAATTGTCATGGATGATGTTTTTTTATGATTTCAATTCATCACATTTATATATTTACCCGCTGAGATCTCACTTAATCCATTAAGAGTGACTTTTCAGTCACAATGCAATTGTGTGTGAAGTAAACTAAAAAAAAATAAATAAATTTCACCGCAAAACTCACTTTGAGATAATTAAAATGTTGAGTTGTAAAACGCTTTGGGGTGGAGGCGTATTTTACACAAGAGTAACCGAACGCATGAAGAGCTGCAGGACAGTCAATGGAATTTTTTTGTAACCAAATTTAATATTTAAGTTCAATGGACTTTTAATTAATCTAATCTCGTGACCGAAATGCAATTTTAGAAACTTATTTATTATTTTTAATGTATATTTTGTGTGTTGTTTTTGCTTTATCTTCTAATTTTGTTTTGTTGCATTTCCAAAGTGAAAGCTTTTGAGTGGTTTTTTGAGAAAATGCGAACTGATATTTATTATTTTAAAATGCCTAACTTTCCTACATGCATGACGCCATCCGGTCACCCTCTGTTGTGTTTCTGTAACCGTGAAATTTGTATGGGAGAGAGCAAGATGAAGCAATTGAGGAACGCCGGGTGGCAACAGCATTGACTAATTCATCTCTCTGTAATTGATTTTGCAGGCGGAAATAATAGCCACATGTCGTGACAACGTACACTGCTTGGAGGCAGTTCTGCGGGGCCCCAGTGTGACGGTTCTGTCGACATCGCGCTGCCAGGAGACACGAGGTAAGTCTGTCGACAGTCAGGGCCGATGCTGCGCCGCCTCAATCGCCAAATTCACTTTGATTCTCGTGCGGAAAGTGCTGAGATTTCACTGGAATCGTGATCTCTTCTCGCTCGCAATGCACTTGAGGGACTATCTCGCATGCCTCCTTCTCTGGCTCTCGTCCACGCCTCTCGGTTGCCTGCTCAGGCACTTGCTGAAGTTTTAATTGTGATACAAGTCCAATAAAATCACACTTTTTCTCGTTACACTTTGACTGAAGGTGTCTTGGCTAAGTTGCATGCAACTTTCCTGGCAACATTTAGTTTCATCGCGATCGCAGAGAGCTTTTCGTGTCTTCGTGTAAAAAGTGCGCTATTATCGCAATTGACTTGGTGTTTGTTTGGAAAAGAAATGTGCACAATCTCATACGCTTCACTGATTTCTTCATAACACTCTTTTTTTGCCTCCTTCTCACAATAAATTACATTTTTTGTTTGCTTGTTCGTCTCTTTGGGTGTTTATTTTTAAAAATACCATCCCATACTCAATTGCTGCAATACAGCCACGCGGGGAGAGAGTGAGAGCACACTGAGAGGTAGAGCGTCGCGCTCTCATAATTCCATGAGACGCACGAAGTCTTATAAAATGTTCAAGTGCGGTCTTATCGCAATAGCATTTTTCTACACGTAGGAAAATAGTTTCAACCTCAATTTTTCTACTCTGACCACACAAAAATCGACTGAATGTCGACTTTTCTCATCTGTTTTCCGGCTCGAGTGGGTGGAAGAATGTTGCTTGTGATGAGTCTGTGGGCATAATTGTTGGATTTATGACGATATTGTAAGTGAAACAGGCGCGTTTCGTGGAGATGAAGTCTTGTGCAATTGTGTAACACATTGGCATTTATGGGCATCACAGAAACGGGATCTTGACGATATTCTTGTTCACCTGTCCTGCATTTCTTCTGCTCTCTTTTCCTCATGTGGTTCACATTCTTTTTTTCCCCTCTGGCGCACCTTCGAAGTTATGGTCAATGTTTGAGTTCACGTCGCACAAATGTGAACTCCTTCGAGCGCTGGCATGAAAGAGAAATAGTAAATTGTAAATGAGCGTGTTGAATTAATAGCGCTAATAAGCGCTATGAAATAGTGGAGGAGGGATGCCATGTGTGTGTGGAGACTTTGAAGGTGGCTCAACGTGCGCGATCAGTTCACGAGCAACTCCCGGGCGGTTTGGACGCCCAATTGCTTGACACTGATCTTATTTTGCACTCTCGCGAGGCATTAATAGCTCTTGTTTGGGTCTATTTATACTGAGGGTTTTCTGCATTAGGCGACAAGTGTGGAAAAAGTCAGTGAGAAAAGACGGAAAGAAGAATGTGAAATTGCAAGAGAGGCCTTTTTTCTGTGACATGTGAAAGCTTCGCGAAAAAGTGATTAAATGTTTTTATTGTTTTATAGTTTTGCAGAGTTTGTGGAAAGGTGGTTTTCAACCACTTTTTTCTCTTCTGTATTTCTATGCTAATTTTTCTTGTCGTGGTATTTGACACGGCAAAAGAGAGGCAAAAAAGCACTCAAGTGGGCTGTTGTATTCTGTATATTGATTATAATTGACACAAAACGGGGAGTTTTGTATGCAAAGTGCGGTGAATTTGTTAGAGTAGCGATTGAAATATTGAGAGCTGAAGAGGAGAAGAAGTGCAAGAAAACTGTGTTAATTGCTGTGCTGGTGCAGCATTTTGAGATTTCACATTGAAAATCTTGCCAATTTTTCCGCTCAAGTGTGACTGAGTTGAGCTCAATGAACTTTTGCACAACACAAAACATCAGAGGCAATTTGTGAACTCTTTGCATACACGAGTGACTTTTCGTCTTAGGAGAAAATCGCGCAAATCACAGCTGTTTCAGTGCAGTTCCGTTTAGTTGAGGGGAATTTCTCAAATTATATATTTCTTCTGTTCTCACTGTGGTAGAATGTTTTGTTACATCACTCGTGAAGTCACTAAGCAACGCGACTGAGTGTTAAAAATAAATACACAATTCACTCAAATGCAGAACCACCGACGTTGAAACAATAGGAGTTTATTTGCCAACGCATAGAATCTGAGACAAACAGTGAATAAATTAGCGGCTGACAGCCGAAAAAAAGCACGAGCCGAAGTGAACTTAAGCCACTGATATTTATCAAAGAGAGGAAGTGATTTTCAATGGTGTAACTGTGAGTGCGGTGTCATTAAGGAAAAATGGGTGTTGAAGTCGCTGTGCAAACAGATGATGTCAGTGAGGGTTAGTGTTTGTTTTACAACTCCATTTCATGTGACTTTTACATGAGAGTCTCGCGCCCACTGTGTGCTAAAATAGCACAAAAGTCACAAAAGCTAATCAATAAGTGACCCTGGCCGAGAAAGGTGATGAGTTTGGGTCACACCAACATGTTTCACTGCGTGAATGTGTGCGGAGGAAAAGCAGAAGCACATTTCTTTGAAAGTTCCTGCAAAATTTCCCAAGAATTCAATTGAGTCTCTCTATAAATGTCTAATCAATAAATCGCCAATACAGTAATTATCATTATGTCGTTATCACCCAATCATCCGCGCATGAATTCCTTAAATTGTCAATCTCTTCAATTATGTCTAATGACTCTCTCTCTCTCACGCGCCGTGCAAAAAAGCGGTCGTGCTGAGATATAAAAGAAGGTATCGGCATTGCAACTGAGAATGAACGTGAAGAGGTGCATCTAATAAATTATTTTCACCATTGGCATGAAGTTCAGCAGTGATTCAATAGCATATTTATCGTCTATATGTCGTGCAATTAATTAATTTTCACTTTTTTATCTAATTTCCAACCGCCACAGAATTACTTTCATCATGGGAAAGTCTGCTGAATTGGAGTGAAACCGCCTCAGTTGCTCGTCAACTGCAAGAGGAGATGTCCGTGCTGAAAGGTGCTCTCAATCGTATTGGGAATCGTGCTCTTGTCCTGGACTCTGAGGCCGCTATTCAGGATGCCATTGAGGAGTTGCAGGTGAGTCTCAATGACATAAATCATTTCATTTTGTGTGTTACTTGAGTGTCTCTGCTGAGTGATTGTGTGGTGAATAGTGTCTCGGCTGAGTGAATTGTTGGGAAAATAGTTTTAAAAATAACTCTGTGAAATCTTAGGGGGAAGTGCAAACTAAAAATAACGCTTCCTAATTACCACACATTGACCTTAAGTTTTGTGATTTACTGATTTCACCGTGCAATTAAATTTCACAGGCGATTTATTTCGTGGTATTTTTTATTGTTTTTCAAGCAAGAAAAAATTCACACAGGAAATTTATTATCTCTTTCTCGCGTTTCAATTCTCAATCAATATGCAAATTTAATAGATTCTCTAAACCTTTTTTATGTGCTTTTCTGCCAATTGATTGGTGAAAGGATGATGAAAAATGATTGAATTATTCAATTCGCATTTATATTGAGAGAGATCCGGTGATAGTTCTGCAATCATGCCTTAACATATTTGGGGTATTAAGCATGACTGTTGCAGCGTCAGATGTTATTTATGACTTACGATTGACAAATAATTGTCTGAAAGGAGATAAATTTGGGGACACGGAGGACTGAAATGATGATTGTCAGTTTTGGGGTGGGTTGAAAAGAAGGGGCGTGAAACATTGTCGATAATTCAGCGTTAAATTCCAATTGGAATTGTATTAAAGACAATGTGGAGAGCGAAGTATAAATATCTAGTGTGTGTGTTATAAAGTTTAACAAATTCACATTGAGAGCACCTGCTTCACGCTGTAGTTGAAATTTAAGACAAAGTTGAAATGATTGGTTCAAATTTCATCTTGCCATTGACGATTGAATTTCATCTGCAATTCCGAAGGCGATCCAGTTTGTTTTTCATCTCAATTTCCTCATTTGATGCCATAATAATTTTTCTCTTCAGTGTTTTATAACATTTAATGCTTCATTCAGCGAGGATTCACGTGAAAATGCATGATTGAGTTTTTTGTGTCTGTTTTTTTTTTTGTTGTTGTTGTTTAGAGAGAGAGAGAGTGAGAGAGATAGAGATGAACATTGAGAGTTAGGGTGAGTTGAAATGGTAATATTGCCAGTGAAGTGAATTTGTATATGAATTCAGGACAATTCAAAACTCTGAGCATGTCTGCATCGATATTTCCACAATATTTCATTCACATCACGTGTCTTCGTCTCTGTGCGATGTTCGGGTGCCAAAATCCACCGACTGCCACCCATTCTGCCATGGCTCCTGCTCTGGAGCTCTGGATTTGCCTGGAGGAGTGCGAGAGTGGGTGGGTTTATTCATTTAGTGAGAGAGCACGAGTAAACATTTAGGGCAGAGTTGCAAGAATGGCGAGGAAATACAAAAGATAGAGTTGAAAGTTTTCGGTCACCATCGTTGGCACTTAAGTGATGAAAAAATTTCGCAAATGCAAACTTAAAATGACATAACAAATGGAAAAAGTGTACTTTATTGCTCTTGATCGATAAATCGTGAGGAATTCAACTCTTCCGCGACTCTTGCGATAAGAATGTGAAGCGAGTGGGTGGAACAAGAGTTAAAATGTTGTATGAAACGATCTTGTTCATGGATGAGAAAAAAATTAGATTTAAATTGTTTCACTCACCCTCATGCTTCTCCTTCTTTTTCTCTATTTCCCCTTTCCTCGATAATTTATTGTCCTGAAGACCTGAGAGACGGGAAAAAAATTAATTGGTTCCACCCTGAAGAAAAAGGAAAGATCTCTTAGCGTAGTGCGATTTTGAATGGAAAAAGTTGATCAAAGTGTGATTTTATTGACCATAAAATCATTGCTATAATTCTTTTTCTGGGTGTCCTCACGAAAAGCGAGAGAGAGAGAGAGCGAGAGAATGGAAGAGTGAAAGACGGTCTGATCTCGGGAAAATGCGGGGTGTGAGAATTTGGCAAAAGAGTCACGTGAGTTTGGGATCATAAAAATGGGGTCAATATGTGGTCAATCTAAGAGTGATGCTTGAGTGGGAGATTTTCACTGATCACTGGCATCTCATTCGTGTGTATTTTGCCACAAATGCAGGAGGAGAAGACGAAATTGCATGGTCACAGATCGACGATGCTGAAGCTGAACGCTTCGGTGCACAGTTGGCTGACAAGGCAGGAGCTGGAGATGAGCAAATACAGTGCTCAGAGCCACATTCTCGGCGCTGTTACACTCGTGGACGCCACAGATGCCACGGTGGATCTGGAGAGGACAATCACATGTCCTGAGGGTGAGAAGGAGAGAGTTCAGCAGTTCTTCGACACGGAACTCCATGCATTGCTCAAGGACAACGTGAGCGACATGTACGGCGCATGGGATGAGGCGGATCACAGGTCAGTCGACCATCAATATTAATTTATTGCTTCCCCGGAGAAGAAGAGTGTTGTGATGTGGAGGAAATTGGAGAGGAGTCTCCTTCACACGCGGTGTGTTTGCACAACATGATGCAATTGAAGGGTGTTTTTCTCCAATTTCCACTCACCATCAATATTGCTCCTATTTATTCGCTGTATTTGTCCACTGTCAAATAACGAACTGCGTGCCTGAATTTGGTCTTGTAGTGGAAGTAATGTTGATTTTATGGTAATTTACCGTTGATGTCCGAAGGAGCCGTAAGAGAGAGGAAAGATATTAGAGAAAATCTCTCTATGAAGGCATTCCCTCATGGAATAAGAACTGTAGGGCAAAGTAGGGCTGAGCAATGTCACAGAAATTGAGAAGAAAGTGTAACTAAACTTACATCGGAGAAAAACCTCAAAAGGAATACTGTGTAGTTCGAAATATGTAGGTTCACCTTCCCCTATTGCAATGAAGTCTTTCTTTTAGGGCTTCCCCTCGAGGAATGTAAAAAGAAACTATGCCTACCATATGAAGAAAGTTTTCTTTCTTCCATTTAAACCACATGCTTCTTCCGCATAATTGAGATTTGCAGATTGATGGTCATATCATTCGTCCTCGGGTGTTCCAAGCGCTCGGCGATATATTAAATAAAATTGCAAAATGACCATCACTGCAGGATTTCCATCCTGATGTCTTTTTTATGCTAAGAAGAAAAAGAGAGAGAGAGAGAGAAAAAAGAAGCTTGGAAAAAAGAAACTGACCGGAATGATGACTTGTGTGGCAGATGAGAAAATAATTTATTTTATTGTCCCTCTTCACTTTGCAGGATAAATTTGCAGCTGGAGAGTTTGGTGAGCTCGCTGCAGACGTGGAAGCAGCTGGAGAGTGGACTGGTGGAGTTTCAGGAGGCGCTGGGCAAGGACAAGGGCGCCCTCAAGGGATTGCGTGGGGCTCTGGAGTCCGGACGCACAACGCCAGTGGATTTGGCCCATGATGTGAAGGAGGTGGCGAAGTTGCTCTCTGAGAAGGTCGAGATGACTCTTCAGGTGAGTTGATGACAAACCACAGTGGAGTTGGGTGACCTCTTGGCCTGGATTGCGAAGAAGGGTAGAGAAAAACATATTAAATTTGGGGAAGCTCTGTGTGTGTGAGTGTGTTTTTGGGGTGGGAATTCTGTGTGCTTCGCAGGATCGACATTCGATGTTGGACGCGGAATGGGATGGCACGTGACTTGGCCACAAATGTCACTCTTAAACAGTGTCGTGAGCGCCTCTCTGAACACACACTCACGGGCGGAGAAGGCGAGTTTGTGAATCTTCTGCACTGTTCTTGGTCTGGCTTGATGACAAAACGCGCTGCGAGGAGGGCGGGAATGAGGGTGAAAGACGTGAGAGACTCCTCATAGTGTGTATAGTATACATTTCCACAGGACAAAAGGAGGATTTTGGGCATCATGTAAAGTAGGTTTCTCTGAAAATCGATTTTTTCCTCATCATCTTTCACTCTTTCACCCACATTTCAACCCTCTTCGGTGATTTCTTTGAGTGTTGTTGTTCTTTTGATAAAAATTGCACACACTCAACAAGAGAGTGCATAAATTTCCAATTTAATAAATGTTTAATTCCAAGTGGGTGCTCAGGAATTGAGGGGATGGAAGAAGTGAAAAATGCAGACTATAAATTCAAATCAAAGTGGGAAATTTACCTTTTGCCCGCCACCAGTGAATAAAGCACTCCAATCGACATGGCACTCGACTCAGGGGAGGAATTTATCTTTTCACCCTTGCTCCAGAGGGAGAATTCCTTGTCCGTTGAATGTTGAATGCTGTCAATCTTGCATGAAGTTTCCTGGGATGAATACGAGAGGCCAATTAATTAGTTGATGACAACTATTTCGTGTTGGTAATTTGTCATGCAGGAAAAAGGGGTTCAGCGCCACTCGCATTTCATCATTGAATTCATCAGCGTTTGGTGCACAAATCGACAGTCATTTGTGTGCATGTTGGAGGCGGAATATAATAATTTCGTTATACAGTTTCCAATGTGAAGGGCCAACAATGATTAAATCATCGCTATATTGAGTTAGAGAAGGGGTGAGAGCAGATCTTTCACCCCTCAAATTGACTCAAATGACACACACACACACACGCTCGCAATGACTAAAGAACTCTCATGATTCCGCCTTCAATTTAAGGGAGAAGAAGGCGTCCGTATTTCACTGCATCGGAATTTTGGTGTTGCGTATGCGAGGGAGACTTCATTAAAATCATAATCCAAATTTACGACCCAAAAGAATTTCCATTATCCACAATTGTCTCAGTGACGTCAGATCAGGGAATGATTTGTGGCGTGCAATTTAATCGCATGGCGCCTTGAAGGATTCCGTATGTTCTCCTTGCAGAGCAAGCTCCAGTCGGATAGTGTCTTCCTTCATCCCTCAACTGCCATTCTGTACCACGGGAAGTCCTCGTCGAATGGCTCTTTGTCCGATAGCGGCATCTCAGACGGCGGCTGTGGCTCTGATGGTGGACTGTCGGAGCGCGAGCGGCGTCTCGGGACGCTGAGGAGGCTGGCGAAGCAGCTGGAGAACGCCTTGGCGCCCGGCTCGGCTGCTCTGCAGTCCATCTTCCGGCGCATGGAGGCGGCCGAGAGCGAATTGAAGCAGCTGCAGGACACTTGTCGTGAGCTGATTGTCCGCACCACGGCCGTGACGCAGAAGGCGCCGTCCCACGGCGGCAGCTCGGAGGAGTCTGAGGGTCACAAGGCGACTGGGGTGCAGAAGAAGAAATCCAGTCAAAGGTGAGTGTGCCTGGCAATTATCCTGGTGAAATTTAATGAATTTAAATGAAGCAATCAAATGAGTCACTTCTTAGTCACTTGATGCCTTGCAAGGGAATGCGAAGGGGCGGAGGAATATGCAAATGAGTGTGGCTCGAAGGAAGTCCCTCTCGAGAGACTCTTCTCATGGTCATGGAAAAGATTCTCAGGGCAAATTATTTGCATCCTAATAAGAAAATTAACACGACATACATCCACACCATGTCTCTTCTATTCATCTCACACTTTTCTTTCTCTCCTCGAGGGAGTTTTCGCCAGAGACTTACTTTAGTCATTTGCCTACAAGACTTCTTGATTATTTCTTGATTAGTTTTGTCAAAGGCTTCAGTGAGGTAAGCAAAGAAGGAGAAAGAAAAAAGAGACTTTGATGAGATCTTGGATTGGAGATCTTATGGCTTTGTTTTCAAAATTCTAGCATTTGTCCTTCACATTCTTGTGTAGATAAATTGTTTAAGCCACAAAGGTGAAATATTTGGAGCACTTTCAGAGTTTTTCAAGAGTTGACTGAAACTAAGTATTCACTTGAAAGAATCATTCCGTGCTCTGCACCCCAAAATTTTAGTTCCTGGATGCATTGAGGGATGTTTTAGTGGTCATTGCAGTATATTTTTCTCTCACCCTCGCACACAGAGTTTAATCAATCGTGAATTTTACAAGTCTTTGCCATACTTTTAACTCTGTGCGCCATAACTCATAGGGTGTGTCTCTTAAGTCAATTTTGGTGGTCCCTGGAGGAGAAATAAGTGGGGTGGGATGAGGAATTTTCTTCACACAACAGCAAAAGTGGACGAGAAAGAGAGAATAGAAAGACTTTCTCATGACTGGATCACCATAAAAGCGATGTGTATGAATTTTTACAGTCTTGTGCTCACTTTGGCTGTGTTGGGTGTGAAGAATCGTAACATTGGAAGAGTGCGGAGTGTAATTGTCTTTTTTACGACTTTAATTACATTGAAAATGAGTTTTCTTTCTCATTTCCATGCAGATGTCCTCTCTCACTCGCTCGTGGGTGGTTGTTGAATGGAAAGTTTGTGCGGGAAGTTTTCCTAATGAGATTTTTTTTATTACTCCTCATTGCCGTGCTGGATTCACACCATCAGCAAGCGGAAGAACAAGAGGCGTTCACCGCAGAGCAGTCTCGTGGTGGGAAGTCCATCGGCGGCGCGATCGGCGGTGCCGGTGACGATTGAGAATGCTGCGGCGCTGGTGAAGGGTCGCCGGGCGGTTCTGTTGACCGCCGATGGGGAGCCTGATGATCCGGACGGCGGTGCGGGTGGGTGTCTGGAGGAGGTAGAGGACGAGGGCGAGGGGAAGAAGCAGAGGTGGGCATGGAGGGTGGCCAGGATTGCCATTCCCGTGCAGATCGCCTTGGTGTCTCTCTTCTGCGCCGCGTGCTTTCTCGAGCCTCACTGCTGTGATGCCATCAACAACTTCTCCATGAGCTTCACGCCGCAGCTCAAGTACATCCGCGGCCCACCGCCCATCTAGACTGGAGCCTTGACAGGAGCAGCGTAATCGAGGTATACGTACATATTATGCCACTCATCATGACGCTTGAGTTAACAGCCCTCAAAAGTGTTCTTATCTCTCGCCAGAAAGCGGCGAGAGCGCATAACCTTAGATATCAGAGAAATATTCCTACATAGTTCCATTATAGTTATATATTTTATAATAAGAAAGAGAAATATTCTTACCAATATTTTTGTTCTTAGCCTAATCCCGACATTATCATATATTTCTTCTCTTAATATGAAGTTTGAGACAAGATAGAGTTAATTGAAAAATGCACAGCATTTGAGCTATGAAACTGGCAAATGAAAACCACACACACAAACACATAATTGCCAGTAGATTTCGTAAGTACCTTAAAGAACTTTTAGACTATTTTTCTCCCTAGAAGGAAACCCTTTAGAGTGTCTTAATTCTTAATGGAGCAACAAAACTAATGAGATAGAGATTAAAAAATATAACGAATAATTGCAACGAAGAAGATAAAGAAGAAAAAGAGAATTGAGAAGATGATTTATAAAAAAAAATATATCACGATAAAAATTGCTTTTTAGAAATATCCTTAGTTTTGCCATAGGATTAGAAGAGAAAAAAAGCAAAAGAAAAAACACAAAAAGAGGGTGTTTGGTGATTTTTATCATGATTAATCTTATCAAATTTATTTATCAATTTCACATATGAAGTACTTAAGGACCAACACACACGTTTAATATGAGTGCCTCTTGAGCAATTTAAGTATATTTTTTAATCAATCTTTTGAAACTGACTTCTACGATGGAATAGGAAAGGAAAAAACTGCCACCCAAGATGGGAGATTTTATAAAAAAAATATAAACAGAAAAAGAATGAATTAGTTTTCTTAGAGAATATTTTCTTCTATTCTTCACTCTCAAAAAGGCTCTTAGCTAGATGGTAAAGATGAATATATTTAAATGAGAAAGAAGAAATATTTAGAGATATATCTATTATATTAATAGAAAATATGATTAATCCCACTCTTTCAGTGAATTAACCCTCCTTGTTTTTATTATCTTATTGCATCTGTCTATCTGTCTATTCTCGTGAAATATTAATTATTAGACTAATAACTAATATTTTATATAAATCAATTTATTGTTTATCAAAATTGTATTTAACTTTCTGAAATGACCCTAATTTTAGAATTGAATTGAATCACCGCATTTTTGAAAGGTGTAAAACTCTCTTTTCTTTCATTTCCCCAGTAAGAATAGCCGCAGAATCTACCTTTTTGTACTTTTAGCTCAACTTTTTATCGCAATAAAGGTAATTTTTGAATTCCTCTGAAGGAAAACTCATTCTTTTACTTTGCTGAACTTTCTGCTGTCGTAATTTTCCAGGGATATTTCATGGATTTTGTTTGATCTGCAATCTTTTATTCCTTGCGATTGGAGGTAAGTTTCTCAATAAAAATTACATAGAATATCGATTTGATTTTAAAGGGTTAAATTTATTTCATTGCCCCTGAAAAGTAGCCATCCAGTTGAGCATGTGCGATCACGATCCGATGCAGCATACGCTCGATGGTGATTCTCACGACCGACGAGATCGTTAATCATGTGAATTTGCGGGCGAGATCGATGGGAATATAATAAAATTGTCATTGAGGCCGGCGAGTGAGGGTGGCAGGGAAGCTGTGGACTGGGAAAACAATTGAGAGAGCATAAGAACACGACTTCTGAACAACTTCATTGCTTAACAATTCCGATAAATTGTCTCTTTGACTGGCCTCATGCATGATTGCGAGGGCGAGAGCGAGAGGGCGCGATACACGTGGTGGTGTTTTTTTCGCCATCCCGCTTTGGGACCTGACGGTCGTGGCGCGCGATCTTTAGCGGGGTCATAATTCACAAAAATGTGAGAGAGAGGCTGATAAAAGAGCGGGAGAGGCAGAGAATGACAGTGTCACGTTTCTTGTCGTGCAGCAAAAGCGATTATATTCTGCCCTCACGGCGTCCGGGAGAGGGAGAGGACCTCCCGTGCGACTCGCGGAAAAGCCGAAGAGAGAGAGCGGAATTTCCACCATGGGCAGAGCGCAGGCTCCTCTCCACCTTGCAGGCGTGTCCGGCCGTCCCCGACCCCAGCGCCCCGGTCCTCTCGCTCGCTCCGGGGCCACTTGTGGAGTGCGTTGGAGCTCCATCTCGCTCTGGCAGCCTCCGCGGAGCGCCAGTTGAGGCGTCCGCGTGTGCGTTTTCGCAACCGCTCGCCCTCTCGCTCGCTCCCGGCGTCGGCCGACGGCAGAGCGAGCGAGAGGCGGAATGGCGTGTGCAGAAGACGAAGGGCGCCACCATCTGGGCCGCGAAGCGCTCCACTGGTCGCCAACGTGCTTTCAGCGAGGCGTTCGTGTAGTTTGTCTCAAGTGGCCGAATCAGGTGGACGGGAGAGCAGTCAAGCGCGACCCATCCCCAAAGGATGCCAGGCAGCGTATAGAGTCTCTATGCCAGATAACTGATCATCTGGATTTCGGTGTTCCGGACTGTGTTCTTGTGCCCACGGAAAGTGCAATGAATCGTGACAGTGTAGAGATTTAGGAGAGAAAGAGGGATCAAGTGTGACTCTGAACTCTGGACAGTGTGACTATGGATCATCCTGGCAGCGGATTCGCCACATCGCCGTGGGCCGCGATGCTGGGCCATCACGCAATGGGCCCAGGAGCTGAGCATCCCGGCTTCCCGCACGCGGCAGCCCATCATGGCCACCACGGCATGCCGATGGACTTGCACGTTCCCCAAGGATTCCCGTATTACAGGTTAGTGGCGCATTTCAAATATGACCGTTGCGCGACCATGTTTGCTGACAGAAACACGACTTTTGCACACTTTCGACGCTGTCATTTGGTCAAAATGCTGACAAAGCAAAAGCACATAGATTGATTAGAAATCATTTAGCACCTTTTAGCATGGCTGCATCAAATCCTCCCTTTCGCACATTCAACGCCCAAAGAGAGATCATCACATCGCCGAAGAACGGTGAAGAAATGTCGATCAAAACGGTCTTCGACTGTCAATCTGAGAGTGATTTAGTGACTCGCCAGGGAAATCTCATGGGGCTTAATTGAAGCCTGCTCTCGGAGCATTTTCCCATATCGGCGAGAGGCGCAAATTGGCAAAACCACAAAATTATAGACACCTCATTGCTTGATTAAGTAATTAACGAGTCGCGGCGTTCAATTAAATGCCCGATAGACGCTTTTTTGCTGTCCAACAGCGGCGCGTTTGCTATGTGAAAATGCGATCGAAAGATTGGCGGGGTTTCTAATTAAATTTTCAACTAATCGAGCTGAATTCCACCGGCTTGTTACAATTTATACAACAACGGGAAAAAAAGAGATAAGGAAAAGTTATGCGGAGGAAGGGAGAAAATGCGGTGAATTTTCACTGGGTGAGAAGCTATGCTTTTTTCACCCCATTGAGCGTGCTGTGCTTTTCCGGTGAAGACGAGCAGCTCGGAGGAAGAAAAGGGATGTGACGAGTCGGAAAAAGAGTGAATATTTACAGATGGAGGAGAAAAAAAAGAATTAGGCAATTGTACATTCTTTTCACTCACTTCTTGGGTGGCGAATTGCCGGTGGAATTCCGACTAATTTTTTCACTCAATAAAATACGTTAGAAATGCAAATTTCCATCCAACACAATATGGAGCATTGAAATTGAATTTTCCACTCGTGCTCATGCTCGCGTTCCTCAGGAGCAGAGACGGGAATGGGTGTCGAGGCACCTTTTTAAGACGTGCACAGCAGGAAAATTCCAATACGGAACATTCTGTAAATTTTCCTTAAATTGTGATCTTGGCTTTTGCTCAAATTGACTCTTGTACTTTAGATGATATTTGTAAACATTTTCTTACAAAGTTTACAAGATATTTGAAATTTTATTAACACGATATTTGTATTATGTTTTGTGCAAATTTTAATCCTGATTATCATTTTGATACTAGCATAAATTTGTACTCTAAATTTATGCGTAGATATGTTAGTTAAGTTTTCTTTCATTTGATCTTAAGTGCATTATAAAAAGTTGAATATTTATTTCACGTCTCTCGTTAGCTTAAAAACTCGATGTTCTCCGCATTGTTGAATAGAAATTGGAGTAAATGCATTGTATTTTTCTACAAAATGTCTATTAGCTTACTCTGTGTAACAGTTTTCGTGATTGAAACTTATTTTAAGCTTCCAACGAAAGATGGGTAAATGATTTTTCTTTTAATTTAATTCGCATTTCCTCTAACTTTTCCACTCATTTTCCACTCAGTGTAAAAGTAAAGTAAATATCTCTATTTAGACCTATTCAAACCTTCAACGGGAAGTCTGAATTACACATTTAGTGGCTGAATAAATTCACGGTTCTTTGCAATGCAATGACTTTTCCCCAAGGGATTTATCCTGGCGTAAAAGCCATCGATTGCCCTGAACTGAGAGCGATTCTCTGGCTTTGGAAGTTGAGCTGCAAACGAGGTGAGAGCAAGACGAATGTGTTCATTGTTGTCCAGGAGTAAAAAATGGCACCTCATCACTGTCTTTTTATGTAAATGGCACTCGGGGTGTTTGTCATGCTATAAAGATGTTGGGTGCCATATGGCTATTTACCCGGAGATTTGGTCCATATGACACTTATCGATGTGTCACCGTTGAGAATTTGAATGGGAAGTGTGAAAAATGAGCCATTGAAGGCGCGCGTGAAAAGTCGCAGAAATTTGAGCGTTCATTCTTCGCGCGACGCCCGGGCAGGAGTCACAGAGATTCCGGCACGATCCCATGGCCATATTCATATTCAAATTCGAGCACTCTCGAAATCTCGCCTCTGATTTATCACCCTCGCCATCATTGTCCGCGCTGTCTTTCATTCGTCCGGGAGAAAAGCGGGCCGTTTTCCCGGCCAGAAAGCCATCGCGGCGGCGAAAGACAAAAGGATGGAGAAATGAATGGCCGAGATGTGGCTCGAGAGCCAGCGCACAAGTCTAATTAGTGCATTTTGAACTCCTTCAAACGCTCACCGCGAGTTGCGTGTGGTCGGAAAATTGGCTCGGCCGCAGCACAGAAAAGTGTGACATTTTTCGCATTAATTGAGTCATTTGTTACATTTTTCCACTTTGAATTCTTGCGGAAAATTCTGCAGATTTTTTTCAATTAGCCCGACATTTACCAGTGAGTGGAAAAGTGCAAAAAAAATTACATGAATTTGAGTGATTTGCAGTGCACTGAAAGCTCCGAGAAAATTAGTGGCATTAGAGATTATCGTAGGGATTATATCAGAGATGAATGGCGGTGATGGAAAATTGCTCTGCTCAGGGCTTAATAGCGGCATTTAGTGGCCATTTAACGGCACGATCCAAGAAGAGTATTAATTTCTGATTAGAATTAAAATTGAATTATTAACCTCTAAGTATACAAACTGTGACAGTTTGATTAATTCTATTTATGCGCCAGATTCATAAAGAGAGAAGTAAATGCGTCAAAAAGAAAAGCCAAGGAAAAAATTGAGAGAATCGAACATAAAGAATGACGGATAATTTCATCTCATCCGTAATCGCTCTAGCAATTCAGCTCTCGATGGATTTATTAAATACATCTCGACCTTACATCTTCCCAACGCGGCCATCTTCCGCTGATACGCCAATTACCTTGACCATTGATATTGCTAAGCGACTCGCCATTTAATTGCGCCACTTTTTCCCGCAACTTTTCGGGCGCAGTTGGGAATGAAATTTGTGAGAAAAATGCAGCGCTTCATGGCGATGGGATGAGTGGGAAAATCCTTGCTCATTAACGCAATCAAGAGCCGATAAATTGCACTGTGCTTATTGTTGAGGCTTCAACAAGAGCACGGGATTCATTAAACTCTTCCCATTAACCTTATCTTAATTACTCAGTTCAATGGCTAATGACGAGACGCTCCGTGAGATTTATCCGTGATTGAGGCCGAAACTCTCGCCTCGCGCGCACCTTCTGTCCCACAAGATGCCCGCCAAATCCTTCTGGGCTCTCCGCGGAAATGTCTCAATCCGCGGGATGTCGAGGGTGTGCAGGTGTGGGCAATTAAGCCACACTCGCCTCCCGACGGCCGATCTGAGGGCTCAAAAGCAGAGCAGCATGTGATCAGATAAGGTCCAATCCCAGGGATTCGGTGTGAAATGGGCTTTCGCGATGATGCACTCGCCAATCAGCAGACGGAGGCGCGCAATTGCAGCTGGAAAAATCATCCAATTGATTTCAACGGTGAGATCCGCAGCGCGAATTACTCACGCGCTGAAGAAGCGCGCCAACATCTCTATTCCGACACTTGAGTCTTACCAGAGATTCGATCTTGCGCCTCTCAGCACCTCGAAATTTCCATTTTGCAAGAGGAAATCAGATGGGAAAATCAGTAAAGAGGCAATAGTTACGATCAGTTGCTTTCCGCGCAATAGGTACACTTTGAGCAACAGCGCAAACTTTGTTCCGCTGATTGCGAACTTGAACTTGAACATGATATTTTCAGAAGACAATATATTTTTCAATTAAAACTCGAACTCTATCTAAAAGCTGAGAGAGAAAGAGAGAGTTGCTGAAAATTACTTTGATTGACAACGCATTTCTTTACACGTGAAAATTCTACTTCTAGAATCTACAGTAGGTGTATTATACTACAGTCCTTACAAATACCTGAATATAATGCTTGCAGTGTACGGGATTGTCTGAAAAAAATCCTGGCAGAGCTTTCGACAATCTTCCACCTCTTTGCACGTCTCACACGTTGGCAATTGAATCAATTTTGCGCCAAATGGCGAAAAAGGCCAGCTTCAGGCTCACTTCGTGGGCTGTTTGGGTGCACTTGGTGGGGCGCATTTGGCGACAGTGGCCCGAAATTGCGACCCACCCGCGCCAGGTGATGGTGCGTCCTTCGGAAGCGAGAGCATCTCCGGAGGAGCACGTAGAGGCATCATTAGGGCGCAGCAGCAGTCACTCAACGCCCGATTGACGCGGCCAGCATACGAAATAAGAGATGCACGCCGAGGAGAGTCCCCAGTCCGGCCACCTGGACGAGACGATTTGTTTCCAACGCGTGTGTCTGATTAAAATATCCAGCAGACGTCCAGCGCCCCAAAACTAGGAGGGCCACAGATGACGAGAGATCGGCAAAAGGTGGTTCACATGAAAAATTTGTACGGTAATAAATGATACAATTGATTCCTTCACGCGCTTTATCATCTTGATCATCGGCGCAGAGTGGAAGTGCTCCAAATTTCACGCACGGCACCGAGTGCATTTTTCCGCTGCCTGTTCCCCTGATTTGGGTGTGTGTTATTAGTGAGGCACGGTCCGAGAGAGTGACCACGAATGAGCACCCCAAATATGGGAATAATCAATGCATATGTTGTAATTAAAAATAATAATGTCGCTTGTTGATCTCGCGGTGGGGCTTTTTGCTGGTTACCAGAAGCCCGCGCGGATGGAGGAGGTGAAGGTGGGACACAAGCAGCATTTCAGGCTTCCTTCTTTTTGGCCACGGAGCAGAGATATATGTACTGTTGTATTTGGGAAGAAGTGCACGCGCGACGAGTTTTCTCATGTTCGATCTGCTGTTTTCGATTGTTTGCCTCGCTGCCAGTGGTTTCACGGGGTTTGCGCGGGACATGAAGATGCTTCCCGACTCCCCTCGCGAAAAGCATAAGAGAATGTGCGCATTTCTCCATGGGACTGTGCAAGAGCATCGAGAAACAGCAATTCCACCAACAAATTACATTTATGAAATGAGTGAAATGATTCTGCGT